AATGCTATTTATAGATAAATGTAGGAAGCATTGTGGCATAACCTATTCAAGGAAATTGCTGGTGTAAGATATGTGATTAAACCAAAGTCTTGGGTGTCAGTGGACTTTGAGATAACATTTCAAAAGCGTTTCAGAGCATCTGAAAACACTGGCACCAAGCCAGGTAGTTTCACCGCAGATAGTAACAGCAGGGAAGCTAGGGTAAAACCCACTACATTCCATAAAATGATTATTCTGTGATTTTTCTGTCAGAAAAGATAACTGTGACTTTGAGACACCCGTTCTTTAGCTGAATGAGACCTTCATTATGAATTCTGGCATGTACTGCCCACCAGAAGAGGCAACAGGTCAACACAGCCAGCACTAGGAGCATGGTCCACAATTGTCAAGGCCACAGGTTTCCTGAGAAGGCACAAGATGACCCACCAATGACACAAGAACACCATTAGGAGGTATCAGCACTTCCACGTTCATCTGGAGAAATCACATTTATTAAGTGACATTCTCAAAGTCTGCCAGGTGATTTACAAGCATAAATGGAAGCTGTACTGGGCGTTGCGATGTACAGTAGTGATGTATGCTAAGTGGATTTAGAAATGAGCTGGTTTTAACCAAAACAAATGCTCAACAAATAGGCAAATCTAAAAGAGGATCACCAGCAAAAGAAATTGCAAGCTGAAGCCAATTATCAGTGAAACAAGCACAGGGGAATGGACGGACACAGAATTAAAGTTTCTCTCACTCACTGAAATAAAAAGAAATACTGTCAGTAGATCAACAAGAGGTTAGTCAATGGATTTAAGAATTAAGAGACCTTAGGAGCAGATTAGTGATCTCTAGCAAGAAGAAAGAAGAATGAACTTTGCCATAAGTGTAAAGTCCCATAAATATCCAATTAACTAGGACTGGAGGATATATAAAAACACACAAATCTTACACTCGTTTACTGAACGAAGATCCTCCTCCTAATAAGACTGTTCATTTCAGAAATAATGCTTACTTTATTAGTTAACAAAATGACATCATGCTAATTATTAAACTCTGACAACATCTAAGTGGTTTTCAAACCATGTGTGTTAGAGGGTTCTCTAGAGAGATAAAACCAAATTGCTGATAATATATTTATTTATAAAGATAATTAGATATATAAAAAGAAATAAACTGTTAAAGCATATACAGTGAACCCTCGCCACTTCGCGCTTCGACGTCCACGGCTTCACTCTATCGCGGTTTTTGCGTAACAGCGCATGCTCTGTCATTACTGCCACTGATTGGCTCATACTGTACACTCTTGATGCCATAAATAATATAATAAATAATAAATGATAATTGTAACATCCAAAATGTTTTACTGTATTTTCCCTTTTTCGTTTAATAAACTGGGTAATATGAGTGTAATGGTGACTAAAGGGTGTTTTTTCATGTCCTCTATGCTCTAACTATGAAAATATTTGATTTACAAATAAGGAATCCTACTTCGCGGAATTTCATTTATCACGGTAGGGTCTAGAACCGATTAACCGCGATAAACGAGGGTTCACTGTACAGATAAATATATAATACAAGAAATGAACGGTTAAATTATAAAGCACTACAAATGGCTCAATTCAACTCACTCCCGTGAGAGAGTTGTGAGAGACTAGCAGTCCAGTCCTTCAAGTCTAGTCTGCTGCCAGATCTTCCTCTATTTATGGCTAGAGCTAGGCTATGTCAGCACAGCAGCCAACCACTAGGCAGCTGCCAGCCAGGTCACCGACCGCCAGTCTCCAGCTCCAGCGATGTCTTAAAGTGACCTCAACTACAGCGACACAGTCCACAGGCTAGGCGTCCCACAGGTAGTGTAGCCTTTAAATTGAGGCACAGAACAAGCAAGGCAGCCGCACACTAGTCCAATGATCAAAGAGCGAGAGACAAGAAAGGTGAGGCTTGCCAAGCCATTTATCTCTCTGCCCTTCAGTTAATCCCACTTGTGTTTATCGGCCAGGCTGACACAATAAACTATCTCACCATGACTCTCAATAGTAATATGCTTCAATATGAAAATGACAATAAATGTACTCAGAATACACACCAGGGGTAGAAATTGGTTGAAAAGTTGGTAGAAAAATGGGATTTAAAGTTAATGAAGTTTTCCATGACCTTTTTGAAGCCCCAGCTACACTTTATATATTAGCACAGTAGAAATGCAGAGCAAGATGGCTTTCTTGGGTCCCACAAGCTAGGAGCTCCCCTCGGGGAGATAAGAGGAATACACACTTAAATGGAAACAAATGGGCTAGTTGTGTTATCCACTGCCAGCCCATGATTTCAGTTCTAAGGCTACACTTTCCAACCTCCTTGAAACTCAGGGAGTCCACACAAGTTATTCTGACCAATGAAAGGTGAACCACTTGTCACTTCAGAACAAGAGCATTTGAGAGCCTGAGTGATGTGCTATGCTAAACTTCCCTTTATGCCAGTGCAGGGCAAGGCTCCAAAGAGAGGCAGCTCCATGTGCTGGGCAGTCAGATGAGGATGAGGAGGCGTAGGACTGACTGACAACCTGAGTGTGAGAAGTCACTGTTTGAAGTCACTGGGTTTGTTGAGTCTTTGTTACCACAGTTTTAACCCCATCGATCCTGACCAACAGCATCCATAAGGTAATTCTGACAATGATGATAACAGAACGCTAAGGAAGAGTATAATGTCTCATTATCTGCTCAGTCTTGTTAAAGATGATTTTAATCATTATTTTATTGTGGTAAAATATATATCATAAAAATTTACCACTTTTAAGTGACAATGCTTATATTTTCAACGCTGTGCAACTGTTCTGTATGTTTCTGTAAAGCTCTCAAATCCTGTGAGACGTTAAGTCACTACAATACTTTCAAAGTGCATAAGTATAATCATTCATAATATGGATTTAGGAATAGATATGTGCCACCTTGGTGAGATACTCTAACATTAACTAGGAATCATTAGAAGCCTGTAAGTCGTAAGGTTATTTAAACATTTCTAAACCAAGACAGAGAAGCATAAAAGCATGTGACAGATGTAGAAAATGTAACTTTTCATTTCCCTTTGACGTAGCATGCTGTTACACAACAAATACAACCTATTTCTAAATAACCTCCCTAATCTCATTCAGCAAAAAGGACATTACATACTAGTTTTTCAGGTCATACTGGCCCTAGTTTTGTGGAACCACGGTGACAAAAATCACAATAAGGTCCTACATGTCTGGCTCGCTCACTAAGAGAAGGAAGAGCTAGAAATGGGATTCTGCCCACCACTATTCACTGACCTTGCACCCTACAAGGGAGTTGTGCCAAATGGGAGCAGTGCTTATTCAGCCTAAAGATTAGGCCTCCAAACACTGAACTAACACTGTTATCATTATATTTGTTAATTCTAATTCTCTGGTTCTAAGTGAATGTTTAAAAGTTTTACTTTGATGGGTGGATAAGCAAATGTAGTGAAGCAAGCTGATGGAGCCCAGCTATCAAAAGATATAGCATCTGGGGTCTGAAAGGCTTGAAGGTAAACAAGTAGCCATCTAGCTCAGAAGCAACAAAGCCCACGTGGAAGAAACACCAGCCTGTGTGATCACAAGGTGTGGACGGGATCAGGTATCAGGCATCAGGCATCATCAGAACAAAAAAATCTTATCATTGTGAATGAGGGGGGTAGTGTGGGGTGGAGACCTAAAGCTCATCTGTAGGCAACTGGACATCCCCTTACAGAAGGGTCAAGGAGAGGAGATGAGCCAGTCAGGGTGCAGTGTATCAACGATGAAACATACAACTTTCCTCTAGTTCCTAAATGCTTCCTCCCCACTATCATGGTCCCAATTCTACCTTACAAATCTGGCTAGACCAGAGGATGTACACTAGTACAGATAGGAACTGGAAACACAGGGAATCCGGGGAGGATGATCCCTTCAGGATCAGTTGTGAGAGTGGTGATACCAGGAAGGTGGAGGGAGGGTGGGGTGGAAAGGGAGAACCGATTACAAGGATCTACATATAACCTCCTCCCTGGGGGACAGACAACAGAAAAATGGGTGAAGGGAGATGTCAGACAGTGCAAGATAAGACAAAATAATTTATAAATTATCTGGGATTCATGAGGGAGGGTGGATCGGGGATCGAGGGGAAAAATGAGGAGCTGATGCCGAGGGCTTGAGTGGAGAGCAAATGTTTTGAGAATGATGAGGGCAATGTATGTAAAAATGTGCTTTACACAATTGATGTGTCTGGATTGTGATTAGAATTGTCCGAGCCCCTAATAAAATGATTTTTTTTAAAGTTTTACTTTGAGTCTTGCCATAACTAAATGAGTTTATGCACCTCACAACTGAGTTTTTCTCTACTAATTTTCTAAGATAAAATCCTACCCACTAATAATTATCATTACCGATTTCAAAACCTTTTAATTTTCACCACCCCAAACTGAAACTCAACATGCAGTAAGCATAACTCTGCCCCTGATAACCACTAACCACTTTTGTTTTGATGTACCGTATTTGCCTCTCTCCCCCTGCTAACCACTAACCACTTTTGTTTCGATGTACTGTATTTGCCTATTCGGGATGTTTCATATACACAGAATCACATAGTTTATCTTTGATGTCTGACGTACTGCACTTTGGCATAATGTTTTCAAAGTTCTTCTGTGCCCGAGCATGCAGCAGAACTTCATCTGTAGAGACCACACTTGTTTAGTCATTCCTCTGTTGATGGACATCTTGAGTTGCTGCCACCTTTCGGCTACTGTGATGAACTCCACAGTGAACAATGGTGTATGGACGGGGTGGGGTGGGGTGGGGTGGGGGTGGTGTCGGAGAGGTAAACTTTAAAAATCATGACTTCTCCACTCAGTGACTAATAATTTTATAAGTTTCTTAAATCACTAAATAAGCTTCTGGCTATTTTGTATAGGTTCCTTTCCAAATGATTTTTGGCTTTTATAAAATGTTTAAAGAGAACTCCATTTTTAATTGATACACAGAACCTTACCGCTAAGTAATTCAATCCAGTTCTGCACCGTTTCTGGAGGCTGAGTCTCCTTAACATGCTTTAGAGCTTCATCAAGAAGAACATCCCCTGTCGGAGCATCTGACTTACAGATCACCTAAAACATAAGCAATAAAATTGAAACAACTCACTCAGTTTTCGGTCTTGATCTCATTCAATTAAAAGCAAAACAATTTTGCAACGAATCAATAATGCTTAAAGTGGTGGTATATGTTAATGCAGTGCCAAAGTCCACATTTAAAATTAACTTGATGCCGAAGAAATCCAGTATTTCAGCCTGATCAGTTTAATCATGAATAATGAGATGAAAAAGTAATAATTAGCCAATCAAAATGCTAGGATGGTTTATACTCACTGTTCAATGCTGAGCTTCGGGTACTGACACATAAATTGATGATGTGCGTATTAACTAGATCCCAAAACTCAAGCATATACAGAATTTAGTATGTGATAAAGGTGGCATTTCATATCATTGGGGCAACAAACTTTTAAATAAATTTTATTAAAACAACTACTTAATACATTGGGAGTAAATATGAAGAAACCTTGGTTCCTCTTAGTTTCTACCACAATCAAAGGTGGCATAAGTATACAATGAAACTGCACCACCAAAAGACTTGACTACATAAAATGTTTAACTATCATGTTTGAAGAAAAACTATTATTGGGATATAGAAAACATCTGAAGAATGGAGAAACCCAAAGGTGAGGAACAGGAGAAGAAAACGCTATTCTGCACGGTAAGCAAGTATTGAACTCCAGCCTTCGTTCATGTCACTGGCTAAGTAACACATTGCTCGTTCAATTTCTGTAATACCAAATTTGAATTGGCTAACTTACAACATCAGAGTTTAAAATTAAAACATTTTAAGTTCTGAGACGTGGGTGAGGGTTTACAGTGCATTCATACACATTTTGTTTCCTCATTGATTCCAAGCCCCCTGATGTTCTCCCATTTTCTCCTTTCAGCTCCACGTTTTCATTCCTCTTTCTTTCCTAACATCTGGACTTTGTTCTTGGGTAAATGCTGCCCTTTTGATCACAAGCAGTTGGTTATCTGAAGGTGTGCACACCTCATTAGAGTTACTCCTGGTCCTCTTGTTAGGCTGAGAAAAAGGGGGGTAGAAGGGGAATTCATGACCAGACTCAAAGGGTGGCCAAAGATGACAAGACATTTGAAGGGAAGCCTCCAACATCAGAAAGCACAAGGAAGAGAAATTTGGAACGCTCAACAGAGATAACATAGATAAAGCATATCTTTCCTACTCCCTTCCCTCTAGATATTTTTTAGTAGGCACCCGTGTCCATTTTTTAAATATCTTGGCTACAAAATAAATTATTGTAGCACATGTGAAAAATCCATGGAAATATCAAGGGAGTGTAATTGGTAAATTTAAAAGTATTACTTGTGTAAAAATTGGTTTAGGATGTTTTGCATGTTACATGAGTCACTCCACATGAAAGGCTGTAATCCTTGATCTTCACCAGCAAGTACAGTCTTCAGTATGGATTACAACTTAATGTAAAGAATATCAAAATCCTCAGAAGTGGGCCAATAGGTAACATTTCCTCTTGCTTGGATCCACAATCAATACTCATGGAAGTAGCAGTCAAGTGATCAAGACGTATTGCACTGGGTAAATCTGCTGTGCAAGACCTCCTCAGAGTATTGAAAAGCACGAAGTGTTACTTTGAGGACTAAGGTATGGCTAGCCCCAGCCATGATATTTTCAATTTCTTCATATGTATGTGAGAAGTTGGACAATAAGGAAGACAAAGAATTGATGCATTTGAACTGTAGGGCTAGAGAACATTGAAAATACCATGGACTGCTAAAAGGACAAACTGACCTGTCTTATACAGCCAAAGTGCTCCTTGGAGATGGGGACGGCAAGATTTTGTCTCACATTCTTTGGACATGTGGTCAGGAGACTAGTCCCTGGAGAAGGACATTGTTTGGCAGAGGGGCAATGAAAAGGAGGAAGGCCCTCAAGGAGATGAATCAATACCATGGCTGCAACACGGGCTCGAGCAGAGGAAAAAGTGTGAGGATGGCACTGGACCCAGCAGTCTTTTGTTCTGTTGTGCACACGGTGCTTATGGGTCAGAACCAACTCGACGGCACCTATCAACAACACCGTGAGTCATTGCAGCGAATTATCAACCCCAAAGGAGTAGTGAGAGCCAGCAGGTCAGAAGTGCGGGGGTTCAGGGAAGGGAAACTCCAGGAGAGAAAGTGTGGTGTGCACTCCCAAACTTGGGAGTCTCTGCCTCTTTGGGTAGTCAAAAGGACTACCTTTCAGCTTGTGGGAGGGCCAGAGAAAGAAGGCATGGGCAGCTGACCTCTGAACTGAACTAGAAGGAAAAACTGGGGACTTGTTCTAGCTTCTGAGCTGAAGACAAAAGTGGTGGGATTGATTCTGAGATTCCCACACAGTACAATACTATGTTAAGGGAAAAAACATTTGAAACATCATGCCCTAAGGATCAACTGCCAGTCTTGAATTTTAAGACTGAAGATGAACTTAACAATTCTAAGCATTAGTGAATAATAATGTCTATGAAATATCTATACTTGCCTTCACAATGAAGAAGGCAGAAATCAAAAACATTCATATGCAGCTAAAAGACAATGTCTCTTGGGGTGATTCTAAAAAGAACAACTCTTGTGCTTTAAAATATGCATGCCATTGATTCCAAAATGATAACTTTCAGAAACAAGCAAATGACCTTGGGAATCTTTTAAAATTTGCATTGGCCAGTGGTCCTCCCCTGCACTCCACTCTGCACCGTATGCAGACAAGCAGGAAGCACAGGTGCAAAAGGGTATGCAAGCTTGAGTCAATAAAGTCTGGATTTTAAAATCAGCTTCCTCTTCTCTGCCTGAAAGCGGTTAATACAAATCTTTTTTTCATTTTGAGGGGTGCGGTCCTATAAAGGCGGATCTCTCCTCTTACCTTTCTTGTTAACAGACTTTTCCGTCTCATTCCACACGCCTCTAGTTGTAACCTTCCTCTCAAGGCTAATTCAATTAACATACAGCCTCGTAATCCAGATGATATACAGTCGTTCCAAAATGATGTGTAACCCTATTTTAAAGAGAAACAGGAGCTCATTTACCTTGAATTCAGAGTAAAGAATACAAACATCATTAGCCACATTTTTTTGGTCTGACTCTGATGGTTTCCCACAGCTATAATTTTAAGTAAAACACTGATAAAAAATAACACTAATTTTCACTGGCTCATTGTCTTCTTGTACACAAGAACTCTAGAGGTCAGAGATTTAGAAATGTACCAGAATTCAATCTTTATTCAGGTCTAAGTTTATTAGATTGTAAGGACTGGGGAGTACTCCCAAAACCTAGGTTATAGTAGTAAGGAAAAGCAATCTCCCCCAATTTGGTCTCATAGATAATTAGGCCATCACTCATTCATTGCTGTTTAATATAAAAACACATGGTTAATCCTAGAGGAAAATATTAGACAAACAAGCGTATCCATAAACAGAAAATAAGGACCACTTTATGCCTAAAGTTTTAAGTAACAAACACAAAAGATGAGGTAGAACCAGACAAAGAGAGAGCTCTAGCAAGGACAGATGGAATAAGGTTGACAGACAATTAGGGACCTGGAAATACTGATGGCAACCAGGCAATACTAGATGAAGGCAGGGTACTCTTCTCCAAGTTACAAAGGCACTAACGTTGCCTGCAGTGTTACTGGCTATCAATTTACAGTGCCTAGCTCTCCAGAGAAAGCAGAAGTGTAGAACTGGTTAAGACTCAGAACAGTGTCACAGACAATCTTGGTAGGAGGGAGAGAAAGCCATTCAATCTTCAGAAGAATGGAAGGCCCCGGATAAGGGAGGTGTGGACCCTGCACTAGCTAAGTGTGGCCGGCCTGTTGCAGGTGATGGCTGACCATCACCAATGACTCCGGGGTGGCTCCTGAGAATCATGGCGGCGGTAGGAAAACGAGACTTGAGATTCATGAAGCCAAAGGGGACAAACAGGAAGATCTGTTTAAAGAGTCCCGTTTAAAAGTGCAGGATGGGGGTGGGGGTGGCACACATTGACTGAATTTGAGGGAATCGTTTAAAAACCCTTTAAAAGGTAGTCAGTGGTAGAAAAGGGGGGTTGTGAAAAAATTAAGATGGCCAGATTAAGCAAAGCAGTTGAAAAGACCAATTTATAATGGTGAGAAAAGTGCTGCAGACCCCGACTGGCATGGAGAAGAGGAGGAGCTCACCAAAACATGACGGTATGGATGCTGGGTTATGGACAGCATTACAGATCATGGGAACTCTAGAACATTGAACTGTGCTCCTGCAATCATGAGACAGTCCCTCAAACTCAGAAACAAAGTTGCAATGGTTCAAAATCATCAAAGGTGTGCACCAGGGTTATATCCTTCCATTTCATTGTCTGTAAGCTGAGCAAATTATCCCAGATACTCAATTATGTGAAACAGAACATGGCATTGGCATTAGCGGAAGACTCATTAAGGACCCAGAGTCCTGCTGATGACACAAATGTGATTGCTGAAAATGGCGATTCGAAGCACTTACTGATGAAGGTAGAAGACAAAAGTCTTCAGAATGGATTCTACTTGAGCAAGAAGAAAGCAAAAATCCCAATGCGCAAAATAACGAACCGTGGAGAAATTGCAGCTGTCGGGGAGTTCATTTTATTCCGATCAATAATCAGCACCCATGGATGCGAATCAAGAAATCAAACAACATATTGCATTAGGCAAATCTGCTGCAAAAAAAACCCAAAAAATCTTTAAACCACTAACAAGCAAAAATGTCATCACTCTGAGGACACAGGTCCACCCAACCTAAGCTATGGTATTTTCAAGAGGCATTTCCAGAAGCATGCAAAAGCCAGACCATGGAAAAGGAAGCATCCAAACTGAGGGGTAATGTCGAAAAATATGGAGTGTACCAGGGACTGCAAGGAGAATGTACATATCAACCTTGGAGGAAGATTAGCCAGGATGGATGCTCCTGAGAATTGAGGATGGTTGGGCCAATTGCCGTAGAAGGGCACCGTGCTTGGTAAAGCAGAAGGTCAGAAAAAAAAGAAAACCCTCAACCAAATGGCTTGACACAATGGCTACAACAATGAACTCCCAACACAGCAACCAATCTGAGGATGGCCCAGGGCCAAGCAACGTTTCATTTTGTTACAGTTATAGTCACTACAAACAAGTCTAGGGTGACACTGGGACCTAACAATAGCTCCCTGGCTTGTGTATCCATGACAATTAAATTCCTAGGAAACTTAATAAGGGGTTCCACATGAAGCTAAAGAAGGCTGGCTTCAGCTAGCTTTGACATAATGGTGGGAGCGCCTAGGCAAACCTTCAGGAACTATCAACAATATGGTGCCTCTCAGTGAAGCATGCTATGAATAGACAGGACCATGCCCTTTCTCCGCGGCCTAAAGATCCCAGCTCAACAGAACTTGGAAGTTTACGCTGGCTAGCAGCGGGCTAAATACTTGACCTCACCTTCTTCTGGAGTACCCAAACCCCAGAATTGTTAACCAAAAGCTTTTGTTATTTAAGAAGGAACTCAAAATGCTGGCCACCACAGTGAGATATAATAAAAATATATTGTATAAATATCATAAGAGGAATACAACCAGAAAGTGTCTTAAGATTTTTCTTCATGTTTTCTAAAAACATTTTCAACTTGGAAAAATCTATTCTTTGGACCTCTGGTTAGGAAATAAGGTACAAGAGAATAAATTTACATATATATTGATCTTCACACATCATGTATCCAAGTAAATGAATAGAAACAATCTAAAAGTCATCAAACCAGAAACAGTCAAATAAATTCAGCATTTCTCAAACTTACAATGATCTTGGATACTTTTATTTACACAATACCTTTAATAGCCTACAGAATATTATACTTCTTTGGCAGTCATTTTTTAAAATCCTGGTGTAGAAGCTTATATCAAAATACGAAAAGCATACCACTCAATCACATGTGTGTATGTATGATTCTTATGTATATAATGGTTCTCTTTAAAAAGTGGATTAACAGGAACATGTAACAACAGTAATGTTTAGTTTTTCTTTTCCTTATGTTTTTCTTACGTACTAGAAAGAAACCACAAGAGGTAGATTTCCTAGAGAAAAAAAGAGTACAGTGATTCAGATATATAAGGTTAAAATTAGGAAAGGAGCAGTAATACAATAAAGAAAGGCAAATTACTACCCCCAGAAAACAAAAGTCAAACCCCCACTGTCAGTACGTCCACAGGGAGCTGCCAGGTGTTGGGCAGTAGTTCAAACCACCATTGCTCTATGGGAGAAAGATGGCGCTGCCATAGAGACCCTAGGCGCAGAACAGAACTGCCCCATGTGTCCCCAGGCTGTGGTCTCTAAGAGAGCGGGTTGTGGCATCTTTCCCTCCACAGAGCCTACCTGGGTTCCAAACGCTAACTCTGGGTCAGCAGTCAACTACGGAACCACTGGAAGACCTAGAGTTAAAAAGTCAACAAGGAAGAGCACGCTGACCACACCTCAAGCTGAGAGAACTGACAGTGAAGGCCCTGAGTTGCATTACTGAAGAGTTCTATAGGCAAAACACTGAATAACGGAGAGAGAATCAAAAGAAGATAGAGGGAATATATAGGCCCTGCCCCCAAAAGAAATGATCGACCATCATCATTTAAGAGGTATCATACAATCAAAACTGGTGGTACTTGTTATTAGTTAAGGTTTATTGTGCCAAGCTAGCAGATGAACAAATGTGGAATTCATTGAAGGGCAGTTTAATTGAAAGGGGAAGAGAAAAATGGCTCAGTAAGCCTTGCCTTTCTGGTCTCTTCTCTGATGGTTGAACCAGTGTTCAGCTGCCTTAACTAGTTCTCTGCCTCAACCAGCAAGGCTCACTTTCTGTGGGACATCCCTGAGGAGAAGCCACATGGACCTACCCCAATGCAGCCCTGGGTGCTGAAGAAGTCATGTGGAGACCCCTGCCAGTGCTGAGATGCTTACATACTCACCGACTGGCTTTCCTCCTGCAGTCGGCGTCATTGAGTGTATTTTGTGAGTTTGAGGAGGACTTTGTACATCAGTGTCAGACACATGGGCTTGAACTAGACTGGGTTGGGATGCTTTCTTAATGTACACTTAACCCTTTATATAAAACTCTCTCTCATACATATATGAGTCTCTGCGGATTGTTTTCTCTAGTCTACCTAGACTAACTCAGTACTGAAGGAAAATAAGACTTCAGGAATTGATAGAATACCAACTGAAAAGTTTCAACAAGCTGATGCAGCGCTGGAAGCACTCACTCTTCTTTGGCAAGAAAGTTGGAAGATTTGGCCAATCAACTAGAAAAGCTCCATATCTGTGCCCATTCAAAAGAAAGGTGACCACACAGAGTGGAAATTATTGAATACCATTAATATCAACATGCAAGTAAGATTTTGCTGCATGGAAGTGAAACACAGTTGCAGCAGTACGTCCACAGGGAGCTGCCAGGTGTTGGACAGTAGTTCAAACCACCATTGCTCTATGGGAGAAAGACGGCGCTCTGCTCCCGTACAGATTTAGTCTTGGAGAGCACACACAGGGATCAACTGGATGGCAGAGTGTTGGGTTTTCAGTTTTAGTTAGTAAATAAAAGGGGGCTTCAAAAAGTTATTGGAAAACAACTGATAAAAATCAGAAATTTCAAGAATAGAAACTTTTATTACTGAAGCCCCTCAGATATGGATAGGGTACACTGAACGATTTTCACACTTTACTGTCCATGTTTGTTTTCATACAAAATATTTCAAAATGAGACCACGGAAATACAGCATGGTATTTCCAAATAAACTTTCCCAACAAAGGAAAATCCCAGAGGCTGTACTGATAATGTCATTCTTACCTCAAATACCCTAGAGGTAGTCCCCAACTTATTCTAATTATGACAAACTTCATTTAACCGTCTGGTTTTTTGTTTTGTTTCTGGCTTGCTTCTTACATCTTATTGTTAGTACATCTTTCTGGAAAGAAGTTACAGGAAAACATACGCAGGGGAAATAGAAGAGCGCTTACTGGTGCTTACATTTGAT